ACATGACCTAATTAATAGTATAACTGTCACACAACATAAAGCATTTTTCTTATCATTGCTATATCAGAGAAAAATATGAACCTAGGATCTAACTTTTCATTTTAGAACTTGTCAAATGAGGGTACGAGGGTTATAGGATTTTGTTTGGCATGTAAAATATGGCAAAAGAGCTGAAATAAATTCTAATCTTTTTTTTCTTTCTTTGTTGTTTATATTGTGTTGAGTCTGTGACCTTGGATAAGTCACCTAATACTTCTTAGCTTCAGTTATTTTCTCTACTTCAGACGCAGACTGTATGACAGAGATGATGAGATAATGAGTTAATATTTGTAGAGGTCTTTGAGACTCTCAGATGACAGGCATCACATGAACAAAATGCATTCTCACTGTTATTTAGTTGAGAAAAAAATTGCATAGAGTGGCTTTTCTGTCAAAATGTTTAATAAATATTTTAGATAATAAACTTAGATTTAGATAATAAAATCAAGGTGTTGATTCTGGATAGTCAGGGAACACATTGCTGATCATTTCTAGAAGCTTCAAAGGGCAATCCTGATAAAGCACAGGCTATCTACAAGTACATGAAGTCAACCCTAATGGTAATAGGACTTCGTAATTGTAGACTATTTATAGCTTACCTACAAACAGAGTTGTTAAAAGCCCACAATCTGGTGCCAACCACTGTCAAACCCTGGCTCAAAATCACGTTAGCTGTGTAACCTTGAGTAAATCATTCACTCTCCTTTTGTTTTTTTTTTTTTTGTCTCAGTTACTTCATAAGTAAAATAGGAGTAAAAATTGTACAAGCTTTATTGAGTTTTAAGAATTAAATAAATAATCTGAGGTAATCAAATTATCTCACATGTAAGAATTGCTCAGGATAGATTAGCCTTTCTTATTTGCCTGCGATCTCAGAGTTTGCACAGTATTACAACAGTCAGAATTTAGTCGTGAGGTCATGACAGTGAACATAGCTACTTCTTATGAAATGCAGCCCAGGTGAATTCTAAAAGGCAAACTCAATGTCAATCTAAATCATGCAATCAGGTGGTTAGGGTATCACCATAACTTAGAGCTATAGGGATTTCGGTAATACATGAAGCACTATTTCATGGCCCTCAGGAGGTAGGCATGTTACGTGGACTTCCTGCCAAAGGTATCATGAGGATATTTAGTTTCTCGTAAAGCTAGATCTTTTCAAAACAAGGACAGAAATATTTCTGATATGACAACTATCTTTCAAAAGAAATAACTTCCACATGGGAAATTATATTAGAAAACTGTGGTGATGCCAAAAGCAAATGGAAACCACTCCCCTAATCCTTTGGCAAATTAAGTTCTGTTCTTAGAGAAAGCAATACCAGTGAGCTATTATCTTAAGCTTTTGCATTACTTTAATTTATCTTAAATCACTCACATCTAAAAATAAATGGCTTTAACACTGGAACATACTAATAAAAGCAAAGAGGTTAAGAAGGTCATGTGAGTCTATTTACATTAGATTTTCTTTATGAGTTAACTGTAATTACTCTGTTAGCTCAGTTCTTCCTAGTCTATGGGAGAGAAAACCAGACTACTATACACAGAGGCCTCTCCGATGCCTTTGATAATTGAAAGATTTAAGAGAACGAATGGAGTCTTACCTAGCGGGGAGTTGGAATAGATCCAGATGTCATTCGATGACTTTGGTGACAATTTCTCAAAAACTCTCTATTTCTGCACTTACTTCAGTAGTTACTTGAATAGTTTTCCTTCATTATATTCTAGGACTAGGTTTCTTGAACTCAGAGGTAGTGATTTAGATGCTAAGCTAGTGTAATAAAATGAATACCAAATACAGACTCTGAGATGAAAGTTAGTATGCAAGAGACTGAATAAATATTTCCAGAAGGCCAGCCAGTGGTATGGTGGTGAAGGCAGCTAGATCCTACATAGCTGAATACCAATTTCAAACCCTGGACTGGCCAGCTGGAGAAACACACTGGTCATATTTGTGTGCATGCCCAAAATCCTCGCCAGACAGACAGAGAGAGACATTGAGACAGAAAGTGAGAAATCAGGGGGGATGGTCACGCCGCAATCCCTTCTCCTCCATTCTCCTCTCGGGATCTTGGGCAAGCACACACATGTACCCAGCATGAGTTTTCAGCCACCGCGTCTGGGACACGAACTGCGGTCGACTACGTGGGAGTCCAGCGACATAGCCATTACGCTAACTGCTGGTTCCCCATGCCCAAAATCCTAAGAAGAGAATGGATGAGAAAGGACTGTGGTGTGGCCAATCCCCCTGGGGGGGATGCTTTTTCACTTTTCCTCTCTGTCTCCTTCCAATGAGTTCATATGCCCTATAAGAAAATTTTTAAAAAGAATGTGTTCAGAATTAACATTGTGGAAAAAAGGGAGTAAGATGGTTCATCAAAGAAAGAAGCTGAGCTGTGGTATAGCATTCTGAAGATGGTGTGACCCTTCCAAGACTTTTTTTCTGTATTGGTTGAGAGGACCCAACCTTACATCCTTACATCAGTCATATTTTGGATATAGGCGACCTGGAGGTATAGAGCTTGACCTTAGACAAGATAAGACAAGATAGCTACTTCAGAGCTATGGCGATTCCCCAGCTAGAGGTTGGGGTTGTCAGCCATCCATAGCCCCTTCAGCCCAGATGGTCTGTCTTCAGTCTAGAAGATGGATCTTGATGATGTATCATAAATCCACCATGTTTCCAATTTACTTCCAAGATGTAATCCCACAGTTTTTTATGTTGGCTTCCAAGTGCTATTTGGACTGTCATTTTAGTTTTTTAAATCATCTGACAGTCCTTTTGGAAGTCTAGATCAATAATTTGCCTTCCTCTTCTTCCATCTATCCACCATGCTGCTTTACCACATCACCACCCTGCACATCCTAAAAGCCTGAAATACAAAACTGGACTTTGGCCTGGCACACACATCAGATCCTTTAAGCCATTAATACTGTCCACTCTTCCAAACCTCATGACCAATGTCTTCCTCGGATGTACTGCATCTTAAGACTATAGAACTACTTGTGATTATAAATACACAGGTCAACTCTCACATTCAGGTTTTTTTGACTGATAACCCTCTCTCCTTTTCACATTTCATTAAATGTTGTATGTATTTTAAGATTAAGCTCATGTATTATTTAATCTACTATGTAATGCTAATCATCACACACTTTATTTCTGCTTTCCTATTATTTTGTTTTATTATTGTTTATACTACTCTATGTAATTATCATTGGTTTACTTGTTTAATCCTCTACTACAAATTGTGAGCTCTTTAAAGGGATAGGTAATTTTCTCTATGTGTCAAACACAGAGCAAAATATATGACCCCAAGCAGACTTGTAGACACTAATGAATACATGTTGCATGAATGTTTGAATATATTCATAATAACTGTACAAACTTTAAGAGAACAAAGAAAAAGAGACTGCCTTTCTCTAACTTGCTTCTTTTTGCTAATGTAGGTGTTCGATGAATGCATGAACAGGCAATAGTATTGATGATAATAGTAAAAGGTTGTAGATATCATGATCTCTGCCAGCTATGAAATTCAGTAATACAGTAATTCTTTAGATTAATAGAGTTGTTTGAAAAACCAGAAAATAGACTTATCCCTTCTTTTCAAAATTTAATTTTTCCTCTACAAAGCAACTCTATTTTATAATAATTCCAGTGAGTATAAGACATTGACATTAGTAGAACTGATGCTGTCTCTTTAATTGTTAATTTTCTGTTGTATGTATCTAGGTCAACATAAAATCTAACTTTTAGTTATCTTTTGTAATAATCTGTTTTTTAATTGTCAGAGAGCATGCGTGCTCTTCAGAGAACAAGCAAGGGAGAGAGAAAGTACCCCCTCATGAGGCTTGTTCACATCACAGTCTATTTTCCTCAGCCTCTCCATCCCCCATCAGTATTATCAACACAATTATACGTGTGCTCAATTTGGTTTTCTTTTTTTGGAAAGGTTTTATTGCTATAGGGCGCGTGCGCTCGCCAGAAAGACATAAAGTGAGAAATCACCCCCCAGGGGGGATGGCCATGCTACAACCCCTTCTCCTCCATTCTCCTCTTGGGATATTGGGCACACACGCACATGCGCCTGGCGTGAGTTTAAGCCACTGGGTCCAGTACTTGAACCGTGGTCAACTACATGGGAGTCCAGCAACATAGCCATTATGCTAACTGCTGGTCCTCTCAATTTGGTTTTCAAGCCCCTGAAGCCTGAATTCAAAGCAGGGTCAAGGCTTACCCACTGTACTATGAGGCCCTCATAAAAATATTGATAACAACTGAAACCATAATATACAAATATAGACTATCCTTTCATTTAACAGCTATACATTTAAAACCTAAATTAGTCTATATACTATCCAGATGCAGGAGCTATATCAATGGACAAGTTGTATTCACATTTCTGCTGGCCCAAACTTTACATTTATTAATCATATGCAATATGCCAATTGATATCCTATGTAATTACATAAGTTAGGTAATTATTGTGTTTCTAACATCACAAAAGAGAAAAATTTTTTAATGTTTTTCTAGTAATAGTTTTGAGATTAAGAAATATTAAAAAACTCTCTAAAACACAGTAATCTACTGGTAGAGGTTGGAATAAAAACAGATATTCTTGGTCCAAAACCCATATACAAGGCAAAAGACTTTGGCTTCTTTAGTTCAACTTTCACATGAAATTTCAGCCCATTTTACTATTCCCTGCAAGGACAGCTCTGAGCCTCAGAAAACATTAATAAACCACCTCCAAGAGTAAAGGTGTAATGAGAGAGAGATGCAAACCTTTCACATAAAGTCAGCTCCTGGATGGTAAGAAAGTCATGCAACAAAAATAAGAAGGGTTTATTATGTCACCACCAAATTTTGGTAAGCCAGCAGGAAAATGAATAGAAAAATCAAAATAAATTCGTTAAATAAAAATTTAATAACTGATTTTTTTTTCATTTTTTTTTTCTAGGAAAAATTAAACAAATGCTTCGGACCTGTTCTAGAAAACACATGTTTACAAACCAAGTTAAAAAAAAAAAGTAGTATATAAATATAAAGCAAGAAGTCTAACAGATGCTCAAATGTTGTTGTGGTTTTATGAAAGCTAACAGCAAAGCATTAAACATTATCTAAACCTGCCTGCAAACTGTTTTGCATTTATATAGCACTCGATATATTTGAAAAACATATTTTTACCATCACTGAAGTAAGCCACCCCTGCAAACCTTCTCATTTTGCAAATGAATAATAAAATGTCACACAAAGGAACAAGTATAACTGAATTTTAGATTAAGAAGAGACGTATGGGTTTTATCGAGTTCAACATTCTTATATTATGGATGAGACAAGAGGATCCCTGAGTGGGCAGTTGATTTTGCTCAAGGTCACAGTGCTAGTCAGTGGTGGAACTTAACCTAGAAGCATTGCTCTTTGATTGCAAGTCTGGAGATTCATTATACATATGTAATTCAGACATTAAATATCTATTGAATTATAGATTCTCAAAAGCTTGGCAAAGAGGATACACTCTAAAAAAATGCTGAATGAATGAGTTTCCTTTTTTTTTCTTATCTCCTCATCTCCTCTGACATCTCCCTACAACTTTGCATGGTCCAAACTTATGTAAGAATACTCTGTTCCTATCATAAATCCTCTCCTTTGTCATTGAATACAAAAGGGTAGACTCCACCCAAATATATTCCTCATACTGGTGATTTTGAATCGTAACACGGGGAGGCAAGATTTTTCTTGTTACTCATGATCGAGTGAGAATGAATGGTCAGGCTGAAGCATCTACACTTCGCCCTTCGCAGGTGGGGTAAAGAAGATAACTAGAGAAGGTTTAAAATGAAGCAGAAATATTTGAGCATATTCCACAATGGATAGATCATCCAGACAGAAAATCAATAGGGAAACAATGAGCTTGTGGAACACTATAAACCAAAAAGATCTAACAGACATTTATGGAATATTCCATCCAACAGCAGCCACCAAAGAAGCTGTAAAAATGTTCAGAAGACTGAAATCATCTCAGTATCTTTTCTTACTCTGATGGCATAAAACTAAAAAATGAATAACAGAAGAAATTTTAGAAAATTTACAAACGAGTGAAAATAAAGATTAATACTGAATGACTAAAGGATCAAAGAAGAAATAGAGGGAACCAGCAGTTAGTGTAATGGCTATGTTGCTGGATTCCCACGTACTCGACCGTGGTTCACGTCCTGGACCCGGTGGCTTGGAACTCACGCTGGGCGCGTGTGCGTGCGTGCCCAAGATCCCGAGAGGAGAAATATAATTTAATATAAAAAAATAAATAAATAAATAAATAAATAAATAAATAAATAAATAAAAAGAAGAAATAGAAAGGAAATAAATGTATCTTAAGACAAACGAAAATAAAAACATAAAATACCATAATTTATGGGATGCAATCAAAGTGCTCTTAAGAATTAAGTTTAGGGGCAGCAGGTGGCATAGTGGTTAGAAGTGCTAGACTCCCAAATGGTCAACCACAGTTCGCATCCCAGACCTGGTGGCTTGCTTTCTCACTTTCCCCACTCTCCCTCTCTCTCTCTCTCTCTCTGATCAAACTGGAAAATAATAATAACAAATAAAGTTAAATAAAATAATTCCTTAAAAAAGTGAAGTTTAGGGACCAGCAGATGGCTTAGCAATTATGTCACTGGACTCCCACATGGGCAACCACAGTTCAAGTCCTGGACCCGGTAGCTTGAAACTCATGCCAGGTATGTGTTTATGTATATATGTGTCCAACATCCCAGAAGGCGAAGGGATTGTGGTGTGGCCATTCCCCACAGGGGGTGACTTCTCACTTTCCCTCTCACTGTCTCTATCTCTCTCCCCAGTGAGCACACATGCTCTAAGGGAATAAAACCTCTAAAAACAAAAAAAGAAAGAAAGAATAAAAAGAATGATATTTATAGCAGTGAATGGAAAGCATAAAAGAGAAAACATTTCAAATCACCATAGTCAACAACAACCTAACTTCACACATCAAAGAACTAGGAAAAAAAAGAAAAAAGAAAGAAAAACTAATTGCGAGTATAGCAAAAGAAAGGAATTAAACAAGATTAGAGCAGCAAAGGATAAAATGGAGACTAAAAGGAAAATAGAAAAATTGATGAAACCTAAAGCTATTTTATGAAAAGGCAAAATCAAAATGAACGAACCTTTCACAAGATTTAAAAAAAAAAGGAGGGGAGAGAAATTATTCAAATGAACAAAAGTATTAGTAAAAGATGGAAGATTACACTGGATACCAATGAAATAAAAGTGACCATGAGACTACTATAAACAAGTATACAATAAAAAATTGGATAACCTATGTAAGAAATAAATTCCTAGAAACATACAACCTTCTAAGACTAAATTACAAAGAAACATAAAATCTAAACAGACCAATAAAGAGCAAATAAATTAAATCAGTAAGTAAAATCTTTCAACAAAGAAACATCAGAACCAGGTGAGTCCATTGGTAAATTCTAACAAGCATTTAAAGAAAAATTAATGTCAATTTTCCTCAAGCTCTTTAAAAAGTTAAATGAAGGAAACACTTCCATACTAATTTTATGAAATCGACATTACTGTCTCACCAAAGCCAGATGAGAAGATGACAAGAAAAGAAAATTACAGGCCAATACTCTTGATAAACAAGATTTGAACAATCCTCAAAAAAAAAAAATAAATAAATAAATAAAATAAAATAAAATACTAGAAAACCAAATTAAACAGCACATTTTTTAAAAATCTTAAACTAGGCCAGCAGTTGGCATAGAACAAACACACTGGACTCCGATGTGGCCGACTGCGGTTCTAGTCCTAGACCGAAAATCACACAGGCAGCTTGAAAAATCACACTGGGTGTGTGTATGTGCCCCAAATCCCGAGAGGAGAATGGAGAAGGGATTGCAGGGTAGCTATTGCCCCAAAGGGTGATTTCTCACTTTCTCTCTCCAGTGAGTACACTCACCCTATGGCAAAACCCCTAAAAAATAAATGAAAACATGATCAAATAGAATTTATTCCTGAGATTCAAGAATGGTTCAAAATATGCAAATCAATAAATGTGAAACGCCACGTTAACTAAACAAAAAATTTAAATGATATGATCATGTCAATAGATGGAGAAAAACATTTAACTAAATTTAAAATCTTTTCATAATAAAACTCTCAGTGAGTCTACAACTAATAAGATTTTCCTCTAAGTTAAAGAACAAGGCGAGGGTGCCACTGTTATCATTTCTACTTAATACAGTGATAGAAGCCCTTTATTCTTTTAGGAGGAGACAAAAAGTCTTCCAAATTGGAAAGGAAAGTGTCACACAGGTTTTGCCGATGACATAATTTCATATATAGCAACCCTAAAGAACTCAACAAAATACTAGTAGATGAGAAAGAAAATTCAGTAAAGCTTCAGGATACAAAACCCACATACAAAGACTAGTTGTATTTCTATACACTAACAATAAACTCTCCAAAAGAGAAATTGAGAAAATAATCCATTTGCAGTAACACTAAAAGAAATAAAATATTTAGGAATAAGTTTAATCCAAGAGGTGAAAAAGCTGTATATTGAAACTACAAAATATGGATTAAAAAAATTGAAAAAGACACACATAATGGAAAAGATGCTCCATGCTCATGGATTGGTACTTACTCCCCAAAGGAATCTACAGGATCAATGCAATGCCTGTCAAGAATTCATTGACATGTATTATAGAAATAGGAAAAAAAAATACTTCTAAAAATTCATCTGGGAGGGCCACAGATGGTATAGTGATTAAGGCACTGGACTTTCACATGGCTGACCATGGTTTGAGTCCTGGAGCAGGTGACTTGAAAATCACATTAGCCACATGTGCATACATGCTCAAAATTCTTAAAGGAAAAATGGGAGAAAAGAAATTTTGGTGTTGCAATTCCCTGGGAGGGGATGTTGATTGCCAACTTTCCCTCTCTGTTTCCATTTCTCTTCAGTAAGCACACATGCCCTATGGCAAAAAACTAAAAATAATAATAATAATTTGGAACCATGCACACACACATGCACACACACACATACATCCAAAAAATATTTTTTTTGAGAAATAAGAACAAAGTTAAGGCATCACATTTCCTAGTTTCAAACCATATGAAAAATCTATAGTAACCAAAACAGTATGTTATTGAAATAAAAACAAACACATAGACCAATGGAACAATCCAGAGAGAATGAAGAAACAAATCCATCGATACGTAATCAGCTATTTTTTAAGTTTATTATTTCATACACACATACCTACACACACACACACACACACACACACACACCCTCAACAAAGCCTTATCCCATAATCTATCCTCTCCTCTGGCCAGTCCCTGGGTTATAGGAATGTGTGTACCCCAAGTGTTCAGATGGTCTCAGGATGTAAACTTGGAACCTTTTGATGTGGCTTAATCTTGCAAACCATTGTGTTACCACTAAACAACCAGGTTCCAATGTAATATAAAAGGAAAAAAATAGTATTTTTGATAAATGGTGCTACTAAAAAAAAAAAATTCTGGTGTAAATTAGGCCTTTGCAAATCTTATGCCATACACAAAAATTAACTCAAAATTGATTAAGGTATAAATGTAAAACTGGAAACCATCAAACTTCTAGAAGAAAACAGAAAATACCAGTCTTCAGAGTATTTTCTGGATATGAGACCAAGCAACCAACCAATGAGAGAAAAAAATAAAAAAGGTGAGACTACATAACAATTTATATCACAATGTACTGCATCTTTTGTACATATGTACAAATCTAAAAGAGTTATTATTATGTGTACAAACTTATGCAAACTTATGCATATTGCATATTGCATTTGAGATATTATTCTCCCTATAAAATAATTATATCTTAGGTTGGGTTGGAATGCATCATCATATTTCTCAAGATTACTGGAAATAATTTCTATTCACTAGATTTTGAATTACAGCTGGACCTTTCAGGAAAAAAAAAAAATCCATGTTTTTAAGCAGATACTAAGTCTGCCATTTTTGGGACCATCTATCTATGGAAGTTAAGGGAAATAATTTATCTGGTGGCTTATTACCTGCAATGGTCCAAGGTTTACCCAAAAACTCACCTGCCGCCCTAGATTTCCTGGTTGTACAAGCTGGTTCTATGGTGTTTTATGCCTCAGCAGTAACTGGGTAGCTCTGGAGACAAGCACAGGCAGGAGAGAATGAAACCATTTATTTTCTTATAGGTG